AATATTCATATCAAAACAATGAAAAACATTAAGGGAATTTATGGTGAGCCTTGTGATTTTAGCAATAATATTCATTCAGAGATATATGAACTAGTAGAAAAAAAAATACCAATCCCACCAATATCATTAAGAGATGCATTTCCAGCAATATTTTACCTTTAAGTTTAGTGACTATTTATTTAAAGCTATATTTTAAATTTAGTATACGATTTTAACCACTTGTGTACCAAAAATAATTTTAACAGTAACTTAATCTAGAACAAGTTTGACCAACCCTGGGCTGCATGTGACCCAGGATGGTTTCAAATACTGCCCAACACAAATGCATAAACTTTCTTAAAATATTATGAGCATTTTGTGATTTTTTAAAATCTCATCAGCTATCATTAGTGTTAGTGTATTTTATGTGTGTCCCAACACAATAATCCTTCTTCTAATGTGGCCCAGGGAAACCAAAAGATTGGACACCCCTGATCTAGAAGAAATTAGTTAACACAGCCTTATGGTCTCAGGGGAAAAGTTTAATTTCTTTTAATAAACATAGTAAATTTTGTTCAGACAGATATAAAAGGACATTCAAGAAAAATCTTTCAAGCATAAACATGCATTAATTTAGGATGACATTTTGTAAAATGGAAATACAAGTTCAAGAAGCAAAAGGAAAGATTAAAATTTTCACCCTGTTAAAAAGGAACTTGCTTTTTTGTTTTTTTGTTTTTTTTCCAGACATGGTCTCATTCTGCCACCTAGGCTGGAGTGCAATGGTGCAATGTCAGCTCACAGCAGCCTAGACCTTCCACGCTCAGGGGATCCTCCCACTTCAGCCTCTGGGGTAGCTGGGACTACAGTGAGCACCAACACACCCGGCTAATTTTGTCCATTTGTTTTGTAGAGGTAGAGTCTCACTATGTTTCTCAGGCTGGTCTCAAACTGCTGGACTCAAGTGATCCTCCTGCCTTGGGCCTCCCAAAGTGCTGAGATTACAGGTGTGAGCCACCATTCCCGGCCTTGTTCATGTAGTTTTTAAATGGATGATAACAGGTAGCAGATCATACTGGCATTCAGTTTCTATTGGAGGTATTAAAATGAGTAATGTGGTCATTTGATTTTAAAAGTCAATATTTAAGACACACCAGAAGTGACATCTCTGAAAATGTTCAAACTTATAATAAATAATTTTACACGTAACTTAAAAATGTGTGAGGGTAATACTATACAACGCCATTTATATGAAGGTTTAAAACAGGCAAATGTAATCTATAGTGAAAGAAAATCAGAACAGTGTTTGCCTGTAGGAGGGATGTGGGCAAAGATTGACTGGGAAGGGTTATATGAAAACTTGAAAGCTTCCTGGGGTGACAGTAATATTCTATATCTTAATAGGATTTGGGGTTAGAAAGGCAAAAGCATTTGTCAAGAATTATTAAATAATATACTTAAAATGTACATTTCATTGAGGTAAATTTTAGAAAAATAGTAAATAGATATTTGAACTCTAGGTAATGTTATGCATGCTCAAGAGTTTAGGGGTGAAACATATTGTCTAAAATTTATTTGGAAGTGAATCAAAAAACAAGGTAGATTGAGAAATGGACAAGTGTATAGATAAGAAATGCAACCGAAGCAAAATGTTGATTGTAGAATCTAGATGGTGAGTATACGGTGCTCCTTGCCCAACTATTTCAATTATTTTGTATGTAATAAAATATTGGGAAAAAATGCAAGAGAAAATATTTTTGTAACTATTTGAGGGCATGTGTGGGCAAAAGTTTAAAGACCACTGACTTCTATTTATCACCATTTGCTGAAGAACCTTTACCCTAAACTTACCATCCAAACCTTTCTCCAGAATCCAATCATATTTCCATGTCATCTGGATTTCCCACCATATCTAAAACTCAGCAGATCCAAAAATGAATGCATTGGCTTCCCTCTACCAGTTAGGAATATCTTTAGCTACATGCAACAGAACACAAAGTCAAACAAAAAGAGTTATTTTTCCTATATACTAAGAAATCTGGAGTTAGGTGGCTGCTGGTATTGGTTCAGTGGTTCCACGATGTCCTAACTGGAAGGTCTGCAATTGTCTTGCCCGTTCTTCATAGTCACAAAACATTCTAGCACTTCAAGCATCATGTCTGAGCTCAAGACAGGAAAGAAAGAAAAGGGAGCAATGCCAGTGACAGTTTAAAGGCTAACTTTCTTATTATGTCATTTAATGTAGTCCTGTACTTTCTTATAGTAATATACCCTTGAAAATGTATGGGATGCCTTTCAGGCACAATACATACATATATGTTGATAATGGCAATTCCTAATGTTGGAGGTGGAACCTAGTGGGGGGTATTGGATCGAAGTGGATTTCTCATGAATGACTGGATGCCATCCTCCCTATAATGAGTGAGTTCTTGCTCTGAGTTCACACGTGAGATCTGGTTGTTTAAAAGAGTGTGGCACTCCCCACTTCTTTTGCTCCCACTCTCGCTATGTACACACTGGTTCCCTGTGACCTTCCACCACAGCTGAAAGCTTTCTGAGGCCTCACCAGAAGCAGACACCAGCACTATGCTTCCTGTACAGCCTGTATAACTGTGAACTAATTAAATCTCTTTTCTTTAGAGATTACCCAGTCTCAGATACTTCTTTATAGCAACACGAGAATGGACTAACACACATGCATCCACACACATACACATACATGTACATAAAAACCTAAACCTCAATTGGCTTCAGAAATGGCTAACTCAGTTATGGTTAATGTCACCTATGACTGGTTTTTTCAGCTTCCTGCTTTGCTGTTTTCAATGTTGGATCTGTCCTCAGGCTGGTATGAAGATGGATATAGCAACTCTATGTATATTATCCAGATCCAACAGCCTCAAGAGGAAGAAGACCATCTGGCCCCTCAGTAGACACCACTCCCATCCCATTAGTCAGAGTGCTTGTCAGTTTGTTTCCTGAACTAACTACAAGGCAAATGGGATTACCTTAGCTTACTCTTGTCAAGGGTCAGCTTCCCCTAAGACATATAACTTTGTGAAACGGTGACTGGGCAAGTCTATACTAAAGATCTGAAACTGTTATGTTGACAGGCAGCCAGCATCTGTCTCTAATACATATGTGCTAAAATTGTAGCATAAAAAAACAAACAATAGATGTATATGTTACAATAGGGGTTCTCTTCCCTCTATGTAATCTCTTGTCTTAGAGATGCAAAATTCAACGATATATTTAAAGTATAATATCATTATTCATTTCATTGATTTATTGAACGCCTTCTATGTACCAGACACTACTCTTTAACTTCTTTTCCTTTATACTAAAACAGAGGTGACAGATATAGAACTATAAGTGTTTGATTGAAGCTAATGATTCACTTCTCTCTGCATACCTAATGACTTCCATCTTTGTCTTTATTTCATTGTTGGAGACATGTTTATTACTAGAATCAGCACTTTCACTCTTCTGTCTTCTACTCATTTTTATAAATGAGTCGATATTCAAACAAATGTCCAAAGACACAGAGGTAGGCAAAGATGGCAACATGGTAGAAACGGAATGGTTAACTGATAAGAGTGTGATACAATAATACTAACCCTTATGCAGTACTTACTCTGTGCCAGGCACTGTTCTAGGCACTTCACAAATACTAACTCATTAATCTTCACAACTCTATGAGGGGAGTACTATTATCTCCATGTTGCACGTGGGGATACTCGGGGTCAAGGACAGTTTTGCACATTGGTCAGCCGACTGAAAGCTGTGATTTGGCCCTCCTGCCTTCCTGACTCACTCTGCCCCATCAGGCTTCACTCAGGCTAACTGCGGTTCTCAGAACTCCCTTGGAGGCCTTGTTCTCTCCAGCCCTGTGCTTTTGCACATGCCGTCTTCCCGGACTGATCTTTTCCGCCTGGGCTCCCTCTTCTAGACAAGATCAGGCCCCTCTCCTTAGCAATGCCTTTTCTGGTTAAGGCAGTCAGGCCAGGCACAGCTGTCTAGCACCCAGCCCACCTCTTCTCACCTTATTTGCTTACAGATCTGTCTGCACCACCAGAGATGTGGTTCCGGGCCTGGCGGTCTCCTCACTGTTGAGTCCCTGGGGCTTGCTACTATGTCTGGCCTATAATAGGCACTCAAAGTTTTGCTGAATTTATGCATAAGCTCTCCGAATTTTACACTTTCTTGTCTCCCCCATACTGTCTGACACCACATATTGTAGACACTTAGTCAATGGAAGTGGGAGTCTGATTTTCCTGCCAACAGCCTAACTTAATAAAAACAAAGCAAAACAAAAACCGCCCCCTTTCTCCCATCTCCACATCGTAATTAAGATCCCGAAAATCTGGGATCCTTCCAAGTCTTCCGATCAGCGGAACCCGGCAGGATGTGAGAAGTCAGACTCCCTTCACTGGCCGACCGGGTTGGGGGCAACTCTCAGGACGCAGGGCGCCGCCTCCCGCGCCCTCTCCCAGTTCTTGCCTATTAAGGTAAGAGTCCCCCGAGGAGGGGGAGGGGCCGGAGGGAGGGTCCCCTAGAAGCGGCCTGTGCGCTTGCTCCTCACCGCGGAGCCGCAGCCCTGGACACTCAGCCGGGTGCCCCGCCACGGGTCCTGTCAGCTTCGGGGCAACCTCGGACCCCACTTAGTTCTTCTACCCGAGGTCACCTTCCTAGATTTCCATAGCCACGAGACCAAGTGCTTATCCCTCAAGCATCGCCCGGGCCTCAAACCAGTCTCCGCACTGGGCGCTGATTAAATAGGTCCCCAGTCCCCGGTGGGCGCTCACGCCCTGCAGGTGCTCGGATAGCCACCAGCAGCAGTGCACCCACGGGAGGGAAGGAAGGTGGTCCCTGGGTCCGGGGGAAGAGCGGACATGCTCCCTCGGGCCGCTGGATCTCCATCCCCCGGCGCCCCTACGCGTCGCCAGCCTCGCCGCTTGGGGTCCTCGCGCCCCTCCCCGCCGCGCCCCGCCCCGCCCCCTGGAGGCCCCGCCCCGGTCCTCCCCGCTCCTCCCCCTCCCCGCCGGCGCCTGCCGCTCCCGGCGCTGGCAGCGCGGGCCTAGGGACTGGGGATCCCGCCGCCGGGCCGCAGCATGGGGCGCTTCCGCGGGGGCCTGCGGTGCATCAAGTACCTGCTGCTCGGCTTCAACCTGCTCTTCTGGGTGAGACCAGGAGCCGGGAGGGCCGGGCAGGGCAGGGGGCCGGGTGGCGGGCGCGGGGCCGGGGTCCCCGGGGAGCTGACTGCGGCGTCCGAGTCGCGCTCGTGGGGAGCGCAGGGTGCTCAAACGCGGAGGCGAGGAGAAGGCAAACAAAGAGGGAGGGGAGGGCTGGAGGGAAGAGAACGGGAACACAGAAGGTTGATCAATGAGAAATGGTGAGAAGGGGAGATACACCGTGTGGCCCTTTCCTGGAAGGAACACCACCTGCCTTGGTTTTTATCTCCCAGCTGGTGACCCCAGGTGCGGGAACCCGGTCTCTCCTCACCCCCGGAGGACTTGGGGCCCTGGCGGTCCCTGTTCCCCTCCAGCCTCCCCTGCACACACCCCCTTTTCACTCTGCCTACCAGCTGGAACCAGGGCCTGGCCAGGGTGTTGGGAGAGAAACGCCTGCCCTGGGGCTGCCTGGGGTGGTGCTCCGTTCGAGTTTGTGGACAGAGTACCTGGCTCTGAAGGTTTTGTTTAAGAAATTGGAGATAGGAATGAACATTGTGGTGGCGGGGGATCATCGTGTTTCTGGGCATCAGGGTAAGGGTACCGCTGGGTGAGAGGAGGTGGTGGTTGCTCTTCTAAGAAGGGGATGGGGAATGGAAGGGCTTCCAAAGGGCAGCAGCATCTCTCCACAACCCCCAGCTGCAGCCCCTGCTAAATACTAATCCTCCCAGAGATGATCTCATTCAACTTTGCAGGGTTTCATTGAACTGACAGCATTCCCAGGATTCATGGTTCACAGAGTGATAGGATCTTGACCCTTGTCTCCTATATTATCGAGACAGGGATACAGCTAGACCAAACCTACATCCCTGGATACCCTGTCCCAGGCCCTGGAGGACTGTGAGACAAGGTCTGGAAATTGTCTTTTCTGCACATTTCCTCTTGGGCTTTCTTAAGAGAATGTCAGTCAGTGTAACTGCTTAGCTAGACCCTGAGGGAAAACGTAGGTCTTGCTTTGGATAAAGAGGTTTGAGAGCAGCCAGGGCCTGGGTGCTTTGAAACTACCAGGCTGGAGGAGGTGGCTGTCCTATCTGCTCTGGGGGAAGTTGTATTCCCATGATTGCAAGTAATTAATTATTGAATGATGGGTTCCGCTTTTGTCTGTCAACCCATTAGCTCAGATGCCTGGATGACTCCAGCAACTCTAAGCTCTTCAGTATCCTTCAGCAGTGGAAGGTGTGAAGGAGGTACCTCCCAGACATCCCCTGAACTTTAAAGAGACACATGGCCTTTGTACACATGGGGATTTACATTAAGCATACTATGGGGAGAGGGGTTTCTGAAGACCCTTTGTGTTGTATTTTTTAGGAATCTGGCTTAATTTCAGAAGCTGTTAATTATAGATGTCATGCCACAGTGACACCCTTCGTTCTCACTGCTTATGAATTCAAAAGAAGTTTTAAGCCTGAGGAGGAATTCTTCAACTGGGTTCAGTCCTTATTTAGTGCCTGATATTGTATCAGCCTTTCCAGTAATAGTTGGAAGCATTCATTGAATGTTTTCAATGCGTCAGGGACAGTGCTAAGCATATGACATTCATTATTACATATAATCCTCACAAGAGTCCTGATATACATATACTATTATTATCCCCATTTTTTACAGATGAGGAAACAGAGGCTCAAATTGGTTAAGTTACTTGAGATGGAGTCTCGCTCTGTGGCCCAGACTGGAGTGCAGTGGCCCGATCTCCGCTCACTGCAAGCTCTGCCTCCTGGGTTCACGCCATTCACCTGCCTCAGCCTCCCGAGTAGCTGGGACTACAAGTGCCCTCCACCATGCCGGGCTAATTTTTTTGTCTTTTTAGTACAGACAGGATTTTACCGTGTTAGCCAGGATGGTCTTGGTCTTCTGACCTCGTGATCTGGCCACCTCAGCCTCCCAAAGTGCTGAGATTACAGGTATGAGCCACCGCACCCAGCCGCCTACCTTCTCTTAAGCATTGTGGTACGTTCAATTAACCAGTGGTTCTCAAATGTGGTTCCTGGGCCAGCAGCGTCAGCATATCCTGGGAATTTGTCAGAAATACACATTCTCAGGCCAGGCACGGTGGCTCATGCCTGTAAGATCAGCACTTTGGGAGGCCAAGGCAGGCGGATCACCTGAGGTCAGGAGTCCGAGACCAGCCTGGCCAACATGATGAAACCTCATCTCTACTAAAATACAAAAATTAGCCAGGCATGGTGGTGGGTGCGTGTAATCCCAGCTACTTGGGAGACTGAAGCAGAAGAACCTCTTGAACCCGGGAGGCAGAGGTTACAGTGAGCCAAGATGTTGCCACATTGCACTACAGCCTGGGCAACAAGAGCGAAACTCCATCTCAAAAACAAACAAACAAATGAACAAAACATTCTCAGCTCATCCCAGACTTGCTGAATCAGAAACTCTGGGGGAAGGACCCAGCAATCTAATTTAACAAGCCATTCACATAATTCTGATCCATGCTCAAATTTGAGACCCACTCTATTAAACAATGATTAAACAAATAATAATGTATAAATATAAACACAGTTCCCTAAGCTGCTCATCTCACTGAGGAAACGAGACCAAGGGATATGGAACAACACAAAAATAAGACAGTGTGGAATCAAGTGACAAGTATCACACTGTTGACCATAGACACAGTAAGGAAAGGAAGTAGGAGCCATGCAATGTTTGAGTGCCTGAATGTGTAACCAGTGAGGTTAGATCTGACCTTTTCTATATGTGATCTAAGTAAGAAGTTTAGAGAAAGGATCAGAGTCATCATGAGAAGCCAGAAAAGTTCTCCTTAAGGAGCTATTTAAGCTGAACCTGGAAGGACTGGTAGAATGGAGCTGGGCAAAGGCGAGGGGGTGACTGACCATCCACCAGCAGAGGAGCAGAGCAAGGGGGAGTGTGTGCCACCATCTGACTGTCAAAGCCATCAGGCTGGAGTGCAGAGATCCCAAGCAGGGCGTGCCTGCACAAACAGGGTGTACTTGAGCAAGTTATTCTTGCTTCTAGGCTTATTTTCTCCTCTGTACGATTGGAGTAACAGAAATATTGAGAGGATTAAGAGGGAATATGTAAAGTATGTCACCTCAACTTCCTATGAGCCTAGGACATAGGAAATATGCAAAAAATGTTAACTATTATTTTTGTTATCAAGTGCCTGGCACATAGGAAGCATTTAGTAAGTGTTAGCTCTCTTTCTCCTGATTCTTTTCATGTTGGGGAATAGCATATAAGTTTGCCAAGTGACTTGCAATTTGTCTTCATTTGAGGATAACTATACCTTATCTTGTCAATTTGTACTTGTGGATTTTCCCCCACTAGAACTTAAAACACTCTGAGAGCAGGAATTTTGTTTTTTCTGTTTTGCTCATAGCTGTATCCCCAGCGCTAGAATAGTGCGTGGCGTATAGAAGGCATGCAGTGGGAACTGAAGGACCTTCCTCTCCCCCAGTTTCATGGGGGTGGGGGCGGAGGCAGCAACCAGAGTGAAGTGGCAACTGAAACAGGCACCTCATGACTTAAGGAAAGTAGCTGTGTGGGATAAAGTATCTAGATATTTGCCTTCACTGTAACTGAGGGAACCTGATTCCAGAAAAGCCCCACTCTAGTTTCTGAAGTTGTTTTCTCCTGGTTGGAGGGCTTTGTGGGAAGTTTGGGAAAGGGGTGGGGGATCGTTTTCCTGGAAGGCCAGGCTTTAGCTGTGACTACAGTGTAACATTTACACACACGCCCTTAGAAGCTCACATGCCTGCCCCTCTGAGTTACGCGGTTCCCTGGGTGACAGCACTTCCTTCCAGTCAGAACCTCGCCAGAGGTAAGCACAGAGGCGGGGCAGGGTTCGTTTGGTGATCTGCAATTTAACAGATCAATTTGTAGCCTCTTCTGGCAGCTTGCTTTAAGTTTCCCTAGGCTGTGCTCCTGGTTTCATAAACATCCAACCAGACCCTGCCAGAGCCAGCACAGTACTCCCTGGCCCAGGGCCGCTGACTGTACTCACCGCTGAATTTTTAAAAACAAAGTCAAGCCTAGCCATTAACCCCACTACATTAATTTCTCTTATCATGGTTAATGTCTAAGGTGAAACCCCTCCCAACATCTGTCATGTCTAAATTCAGACCCGAGATCAGATAGCACAGCATATTCCTGTGCCTTTCATTGAAATCACCTTTATTTTTTTCCTACGTTGCATAGCAATATAAATAAAACACTACACCCCCACCAAGCCGCATATGTTGGTTTAAAGGAAAACCTGGGCGCTGTTTATTCCTTGGTTTATTGTTGTATGGTCAGCGTTTTCCTATCATTGTGCTGCACTAGCTGCTCAGCAGTACTGACCCACAGGAAGCAGAGCTGTTCATTGTTGAAAAGCAGATTCCATATATGGCAAGTTTGAAGTTGCCCTCCTTTCCTTCTCACCATTTTAATACAGCTTTGGGTTTTCACTTGGAGATGCCTAACAGGTGAGTTTAAGAAAGACCATGTCTTGCAGGCTTGGGAGTCAAAGAAGTTTGACTCACATGAATCTTATAGAGGTCACCTTCCCCTCTTTCCCAAATTTATTTCAAACAGTAACTTCAGAGCAATCACTTGTCAGAGAGGTTGGTTTAGGAAAAAATACCTCAAGAAAGTATCCTTTGGAGACCAGCCCATAAGGCAGATAGGAATGTTCTCAGCTTCGCTGTAGGAGAATCTTCATTTCTGATTTTTGTTAAGGTGGAAAGAGAGCAACAGGGGCCAGTGTCCCCTAGTGTGGACCTAGAGGGGGACCTAGCATTGCTGGGAGGAACAGGGAGTCTACCAGAGGGGACAGTCTGAAGAAGCCACAGCTATGGTCCCAGGGTTCTGGTAGACCTCGGACAGACCTATGCAGTGTGGCAGTTCAAATCCAGGAATCGAAAACCTGGGCAGTGGATACTGGCATCACACTGCCTGACTTTATTCCTGCCTCCATTATTTACTACCTAGGGGACTTTGGG